TTAATTATTTGTAATAAGTATGTTCTGGCACAATTAAAAATTAAATGTAAGTTTAATAAAAATTAAAAGGTTCCTTTGAATGGTGACTTTTAGGATATTGATTTTTTTTTATGTTTTTTTTTGCCCATGGACACTCCCTTTATAATAGTTATATTTTTAATAATATAGATGCTACATTTTGTAGAATTTAATTATAATTTAATATTTGCTTTTTGTTTGTGATTCTGCCAGTCATTTTGTGATTATATATGTGCTTACAGAGATCAATTTCTTTTTTTTCTCAATAATTTTATTTAGTTATTTTTCAAGTACAGTTTTTTGCCTGTTTCTCCCATCTCAGCCCCCCCCCACCCTGTGCTCCCTACCTCCCTCCCATTTCCACCCCACCCACCCCCCACTTCTCATCCCTATGTCCTTCATATTTGCTTCTCCAAATCCCTCCCCTTTTCCCCCCTTAAATTCCCTTCCCTCTCCCCTCTGGTCACTGTCCCCTTGTTCTCTATTTCAGTGTCTTTGTTTTTATTCTGCTTGCTTGTTTGTTTTGTTGTTTAGCTTCCTGTTAAAGGTGAGATTATATGGTATTTGTCTTTCAACCCCTGGCCTATTTCACTCAGCATAATGCTTTCCAGTTCCATCCATGTTGTTGCAAAGGGTAGGAGCTCCTTCTTTCTCTCTGCTGCATAGAATTCCATTGTGTATATGTACCACAATTTTTTGATCCATTCATTTACTGACGGGCACCTAGGTTGCTTCCAACTCTTGGCTATTGTAAATTGTGCTGCTATGAACATTGTGGTGCATAAGTTCTTTGAAATTGATGTTTTGGAATCAATTTCTTTACAGGTTTTTTTTGGGGGGGATAAAAATATTGAAATTTCTATCAGAGTTGTTTCTATTTGTTTAACAGAACTTTAGTTTCTGTAGCCTGTAGATTATTTTATAAACTGCAGAATTAAGAGATCCTAATATGAATAAAATAGTTCATTCCATTTATAGTCAGCATAAACCATCTTTTTTTACCTATTAGGTATGAACTATTTTGGTAACTTTGTTGCTTTAAGTTTTGTGAATGTAGCGCCTCTTAGATTTTTTTCTTCAAAATAACTCCCATTCTATTTTGTATTTTATAGTTATTTCATCTTAAATTAAAAAATAGTTTACAGTATTCTATATGCTCTTTTTTCTTAAAGAGTAAATGGTAGGTGATGTGTGTGTGTATATAATTTTAAGAATACTGCTACACAGAAAAGCATGTAATGGAAGGTGATATGTAGTAATTTTGTTAAGTCTTGACTTTTTTTTATGCAGAATCTATGTGTGTATGGGCTTGATGACTTTGACATAAAAACCATTGAGACTTCAGGAAAGTGATCAGGCTTATTTATTTGTAGTATAATAATGTTGAAATTTGGAAGTTACCAGTAGGAACTAGGAATTAGCAATTTGAAGTTACCTGTGAGGACCTATCATATAATTAATTCTGCCATGTGTTTTTTGTTGTTGTTGTTGTTTTTTAACTTAATAGAGGAATGATAGGTAGTTTTTATGTATATTGGTTAGCCAGGGCTGCATGACAAATTACTTCAGAATGTATTGGCTTAAAACAATGATATATTTATTATTGAATAGTTTTTTTGTGTTAGGAAAGTGGAGACAGTTTAGCTAGGTCCTCTGCTTCAAGGTCTCTTACAGGCTTTGAGATGGTCATCTCATAGGCTTGATTGATTCTCTCCAACATGGCAGCTTGTTTCATGAAAGAGTGAAAGGGCTGTGCCATGAAAGGCACGAGAAGACAGTGGAGGACACCAGTAAGATGGAAGTCACTGTTTCTTGAAACATAGTCTTGGAAGTGACATCCCATCATTTTTGCTATATTTTGTTAGAAACAAGTTATTACATCTAACCAGGACTTAAGGGGAGGATATAAACACCACAGGTATACAAAGGCATAAACACCAGGAGGCGCAGGGATCATTTATCTCATAGACTGCCTGCCACGTAACTCTTTTTGCCTTAATTATGCAAAATGAGATACATTGAGTAAGAGTTCTTAGATAAATTTTATTCATTTTGTGGTTGAATGTGGAGCCTCTTAATTTTGTGAGAATTTTAAAAATTCTTTTAGTATGTTTTACAGTTATGCTGCCTTTCTGTTTCTTTGCCTCGGTTCCTTTAGCCGCCCCCCCCGCCCCCCCCTCCCCCATATGGGATTTCAGGTCCCCTACCCTCACACCATGCATTTACGAGCATGCATTACATACTAGAAAAATTACATTCCCTGCTCTCTTTCTTCTGAGGAGGCCAGATAGTATAGGCTGTCATGCAGCTGTACTGTTTTACTTCTGAGTGTCACACCTTTGTTTCTTAACAATTTAGAATAGAATTTATTTTGTGTGTATTGAATATTGAGGTGTTCACCAGTGCAAAAGAGAAATTTAGAATGTAATCCATTGATTCCCAAAGTATGGTCTTTGATCAGCAACATCATCATCTTGTTAGAATGCAAATTCTCTGGGCCCAATCCAAACACTAAATGAGAAGTTGTAAGGGAAGGGGTCCAGCAACCTGTGTTTTAACAAATTCTCCAGGTGGTTCTTCTGATAGATGGTAAACTTTCAAAAGAACTAATCCAAAAGCTTTTGGCCAGTACTGGAAATCTTACTTCTACAGCTGTTATATAAGGCTTTCCAGGAAAATAAACATTTTTTCCTACTCATTTTACAGATAAAGGATACAGAAAAGAAACAAAGTACTTGCCTTGTGTATTTCAAGTCTGTTTGCTAGGCAGCACATGTGTTGGCCAGGAAGGTGGGAGTGTTGGGAGAAGGGATTTTTGAGATGAATTTTTCTTTCCTTATGTGGTTTCTCTTGGGTTAACAAAGTCAAATGCTAAGCAAAGATTTTTAGATGAAAATTATGTTGGCCTAACATATGCATTTGGAAAATACATTAGATAATTGCCAAAGAATTGACGGTGTAGTGTTTAATCAACTTTATAGTTAAGTTTCAGTGAACACTTATCAATAAAGATTTACATTGAAATATCTTGGGTAGAATAGAGATCTCACAAAAAGGTCCCTTTCTAGTTGTCAAGCCAACTTTCTGATGTGTAGATACAAGGTATCTATATAGATAGCATGGTTTTTCTTTGGTTCTTAATTCCTCCCAGTTGATTTTTTTAAATTGCCTTATGATACTGTTGTAGTAAGATTCAAATTAAAAGCAGGCTGTACTGAACAATTCGCTTATATGTCTTTTTGTCACTATGTTTTATGGGAAGTTTGATAAATGTTTTTGAGGACTAGATACTGAGAGGGCTAAATAGTAATTTAGTTACTTTGTATGAATTCACATTTTAGTACGCTGTACTGAGTGTATTAGCTGAAATGATACATGCTGCTCGTATATTCTCAGGTCTAGTTATTATGATTAAAGAGTGGGTTGCTGAATTTGATATAGTTCTTTATCTTATACACCTAAGAAAATGGGTGTTTAAATGTAAAAACCAGGTTACATAGTGAAGGTCAGTAGTGCTAAAAAAGAATCCTGTATTGTTCTAAATAAAATCAGGTAATAGTGGATATTAATAAGAACATTAAATGTGTTCTTCCTTTCTTTTCCAATTTAGTTAGGTGTCTGGAATTCTCCTGGCTTGTATTGTTTGCTGGATTCTTATAGGTTAGTAACTTACATAGCAGCAGGATAACCACAGGATAAATGAGAATCGTTGTTAAGTGTAGATCAGTTTAAGTAGACTTATGGAGGCCTAATGATTTTTCTAAGATGATGGATGCTTTACATATATTTTATAATCTTGTTGGTTTTGTAAGTTTATCATATCTCTTTTATTGCATGGTGGTTAAATCATGTGCATCATTATACATTTTAAGGCCATTTGCTGCCATAAGATCTTTTTATATAAACCTTTCCTGGTAAAACATACAGAGAAACATTTTAAATAAATTATTAGCAGACTTTCCATTCACAAAGAAATATTTGAAAGTGATTCTGTTTTCATTATTTTCTCCCATACATTTAGTTGATGAGTTAGGTTATTTTTCTTCTCTGGACTAATTTTGATAAAGTTCACGGTTCTTACAATAGAATTTAGTAAACCAGTTCTGCTCTGTTGAAGCTATTTATGGTATAAAATTGTCACGAAATAGTTTTTAGTTTTTTTCTGTTTTTCTACTTAGTGATGTCATTTTTCTTCAAACAAAAAGTAGTTACAGTGTGCATGCCACATAAGTTTTATATTAGAATTCAAGGGCACATTTGACAAATGTAAAACTAAGAATGTTTATCATAGTTGAATATTTTTAGTTTATAATGTGTACAGATGAGTGAGAATCACTCAAATTAGTATTTTCTTACTCCTGTAAAAATAAATTGTCTACATTTATTTTAACGTGCCCTGTGGGTGTATATATATGAATTAGCTGTAACCTCTTTTTCTACTCCCACAAGTCAAGGGAAATAATAACCTTTCCCCACTCCTGTCAACAGTAAAATAGTGCAAACAACACCTGAATGTCCCACAAAGCTTTACTAAGTGAACATCCATCATCTTCAGAGATCCCTTGCAGTATCTACAATATTAAAGAGCCCATTAATAAATTTTCCTATTAAATGTTAAAATAACAAGATCAGATGTTGATTATCAAACTTAGTGTTATTTTCATAGAGTTTGATATTTGCATATGCACAAATGTGCTTTTTAACTGATGTCGAACATTGTCTGTGATTACAACTTGTGGGGGAAACTTGTTACCCGGTTGTTAGATGTGGTTTTCATCAGGAGGTCAATGTTATACACTTGAGTTGGTCCTCTGCAAGAAAACAGAATACTTCTCTTGAGTGAATAAGCCAGGAAAATGAAGTGAGGGGTTTTATTTCAAAGGTGTGGGTTTTTCTGTTTTTTGGTTTTTTTTGGTGATGGCATAAATACATAACATTATAAAATCCAATTACTATATTAAATTTCATCACTTGTTTTTTAGGTATTCCAATAACTGTACCACCTCCAGGTAAAACTTTTTACATGTTTTCTCCATCATTGTTAATAAACATGAAATTTCAAGCCTATAGTTACAGGAGGGACAGTGTTGATATGGTTAGATGGAATAGGCTATTGGGATTTCAAGGTCCTATTTTCAGCTCTGCCTTTGCTTCATTCCAGTTTTGATGAAGATAATTAGTTATCTTATACCTGTCTTACCCATTTCTGTAGAAGTAGAGAATCTGAGAAAATTCTCACCATGTCAATTTGTTGAAGAAAACTGAGTATAGGATAGAAAATAAAATTTTCATTGAAAATACTGAAGAATTTTTTTATGATACAGTGGCTGCAAGAGGTGAGAAAGATCATTTATCTTGACTTTATTATGTTTTCTGAGTTTTTTACTTTGCTGGCATAATAATACCATGAGAATTTTGAACCACACCATCAGCTAGATTGATAACTGGACAGAGACGGTTGTTCTTTGAGTGGTGATTAAATTGTTCAATGTTATAATAGTATGAGCAACAGTTTACATGTGGCCCGGTGGTGTTATTTTTCTTTTTTCTTTTTTAGTTTTTGGGTTTTTTTTTCCAGTAGTGTGGTGCAAATGTGATTGCGGGTGTACTAACTGAGTTCAGTGTTTAAAGCCAGGAAGCGTAAAGAAATGAGAAGTGGCAGAGTTTTGGAAGGGTGGGTCTAAATTCAAATGACTCTGATAAACAAATGGTAGAGTTTGGGTAGCATAGGTGAGTGTACATATTTAAATGTGAGATAGTCACTGTTTGTCTATAAATGTGGCTGAAAAAAAGACTTTACCAGGAAAGTTATAAAGGAATCACTGGTGTGTCTTTCTAGTTTAAAAACAACTATAGTTGTAAGACTGTATAAAATAGGATTGTGGACTGTAAGGACTAATGTGGTAATTGCTAAACTCTACATTGCTAAGATGTTCAGTAGAGGATTTATAAATCTTAAAACTGGATACAGTGAGGGCGAGCATGGTGAATTTGGAACAACTTGAAGCAGAGCCAAAACTGATTTAATTGGACTTTAGAGAGGGTTAAGAGAACTGGGATTCATTTTTACATAGAATACTGAAAAGAAGGCCTAGTAGATTATTTGTAGTATGCAGAAGCTGTTAGAGAGCATGACAGTGGATTGTTTCTTGTCCTCCTTCAGGATAGCATATGTATTGCAGTGTGAGATAAAATTTAATGCATTTCCTAATAGTAAGAGTTGTTAAAACTTGAGAGGAATTGGTTTCATAAATGGTGGAATCTTAAGGGCTTTTGCTGGGACTCTTTTTGCCTGTCTTAATTTGAAAGTGTAGAGTAGATTAACTGTTAAGGTCCCTTTTAGCCACATTTCTGTGGTATTTCTTTTAGGTATTGTGAATTATTGAGAATACAGACCTCGTGATAAAAAGATGCAAATTATTTTCTTTCCAAACTAATGCAAAACTACATTACATGCTTTCTTTGTAAAAATAGTTTTTTAGGGTTGTGTTGTTAAAACTTATTTTATGATGGATATTCTCAGCGTTAAGCATTTATTATATCTACTGGTAAGATTTTATTTATAAATTATACATATAAAACTCAAAATATTTTTTGAAAGAGGTAAATGTTTTATTTGCTTTTCTTCTAAAATATTTCAAGTATGACATATCTGGTGGCAACACTACTACTGTTTTATATATGGAAAAGGTAAGGCGTTGAGGTTATCTTTCTCATACTCACAAAATGGGCTGTGCGTGGTGCTGAAAATAAGACCGGGTGTCCTGACTCCCAGTTTGTGCTCTGTGTGTTAGACCAGACTGTTCATTTACAGTTTTATTACTCCAGTATCTGTTTGTAAGTTTAAACTCCATTTTTTTCTGTCCATTATAACATAGAGAAGCATGTTATGTCCCCCCAAAATGTAGTGATACGCAGCAACTTTGTTTTACTCCTGACTTTAGGTGCATATTTTCTTAACTTTGTTTTTTCTTATGATTGAATATTTTAGGTTTTCCTCCTCCACCAGGTGCTCCACCTCCATCTCTTATACCAACAATAGAAAGGTAAATCATTGTGTATACCGTGAACTTTTTACCATTAGTAGAGTATTGACGGAAGAATCATACACATATTTTGGTAATTTTTCAAAGATTTAATTTTTAAACAGTAGTACCTGCCTTTTAATAAGTCTAGATCTGTATTAGTACTTTTATATAAGATGTTGGACCCATATAACCCAATAACAAAACGCAAAGAAAGCTAAAAGATAATGTTTTGAAATATCTTCCTTTGATTATGACACACTGATTAAAGAATCTCTTAAGTTCATTAAAAAATGGCTGTAGTCAATTTTGTGGGAAATGCAAACAAATAACTGGTGACCATGGATAATGCATGTCTATTTTTGGAATTAAGTAAGGACAATTATTATCAGGAATCATAGCAAAGAAAAGTTGCCTTTTTCCTTGCTACCCTGTGGCAACTCAGCATCCACAAAGGAGGGTTGGGTCCATTCTGCACAAGAATAGCCTTGTTGTTACACCCTGCATTTATGCTTTATGTTAGTTGGCATCCTACCCCAAAGGATATTTACCTCATGGATGGCAGTATGGTGTTTAACAACATAGGCTTTGGAATCACAGAAACCTGATTCATATTTGTCCCTTCATAATGTACCAGCTTTGTGTTGCTAGGCAAGTTCGTAACTACTCTTTGAGACTTAGTTTTTTCTTTTTCCAAATGGGGTTGATAGAATTATAAAGATTAAAACAGCTAGTGAATATAAAGCATCAGCATAATTCTTAATAGATAAAAATCACTAATAAATGGTGGCTATTATTATTTCTACTGAAGTGGCAAATAAACTCTATAAATAAGTATTTCTGAAAAAGTGATTTAAATTATATGGAAAGACAAAAATTGTAAGAACCTTATTATATCAATAGCATCAAGCCTTGCATAAAAATTTTCAAAGAAAATTATAAAACTCAGTGAAGGGTGACTTGTGAGAACATAAGGACTTAATTTTATTAAGACCTTGTTAGACATATATTTGTTTTCTCAATCAAAATGCTTAAAAAGTATTTTTGTTGATCCTGTCAGTGGGGCTGAGTTTATGATTTATAACCATTAAGACCAATTGTTTTTAAGACTAAATTTTAGCTAAGTATCAAATGTTCTATTAGCCTCAAAGAGTTTCTGTTATCTTGTGAGTTAAGATTAATTCATTGAGTTATTCATTTAAGTAGTATTAGCAATCTATATTTTTCTTTACAGTTGAGTGGTAGGTTGTATATTTTTTGGAGATTGAGAAGTCTGTGTTTTTAATATTAAATAAAATTAAGAATTAAAGCTTAGTATTATATTGTGATTAAATAAGTCATAATTCTGCTTTTATATTTTGTACCAAACTATTAAAATTTAGAACTTAATAGTAAGACATAAAAATACATTTTTCTTCAACAGTGGACATTCCTCTGGTTATGATAGTCGTTCTGCACGTGCTTTTCCATATGGCAATGGTAAGTATTTAGTTCGTTTTTCTTTTATTTTCCTGTATATTTTTCCATTACCATTTATGGATTCCCCCTCATACCCTCTTCCACTTCTACCTATACCCCAGTGACAAGTATTTTTAGTTACCAGATTCAATTTGAATCAGTAAAGGACTTAAATTTTTTTAAATATATTTTATTAGTTATGCTATTACAGTTGTCCCATTTTTTCCTTTCCTTTATTCCCCTCCACTCTGTATCCCTCCTCCCATTAGCATTCTTTCCCCACTTATTTCATGTCCATGGGATCACACATATAAGTTCTTTGGCTGCTGCATTTCCCACACTATTCTCAACCTCCCCCTGTCTATTTTGTGCCTACCATTTATCCTTCTTATTCCCTGTACTTTTTCTTCCATTCTCCCCCCTCCCCTCCTCCTGATAACCCTCCATGTGAACTCTATTTCTGTGACTCTATTGCTATTCTAGTTGTTTGCTTAGTTTTCGTTTTTTTTAGGTTCGGTTGCTGATGGTTTTGAGTTTGTTGTCATTTTACTGTTCGTATTTTTTATCTTCTTTTTCTTTGATAAGTCCCTTTCACATTTCATACGATAAGGGCTTGGTGATGATGAACTTTAACCTAACCTATCTGGGAAGCACTTTATCTGCCCTTCCATTCTAAATGAAAGCTTTGCTAGATAGAGCAATCTTGGATGTAGGTCCTTGTCTTTCATGACTTTGAATACTACTTTCCAGCCCCTTTTGCCTGCAAGCTTTCTTTTGAAAAATCAGCGATAGTCTTATGGGAACTCCTTTGTAGGTAACTGTCTCTTTTTCTCTTGCTGCTTTTAAGATTCTTACCTTACCTTTAATCTTGGGTAACTTAATTATGATGTGTGTTAGTGTGTGCTTCCTTGGATCCAACTTCTTTGGGACTCTCTGAGCTTCCTAGAAGTCTGTTTCCTTTGCCAGATTAGGGAAGTTCTCCTTCATTATGTTTTCAAAAGAAGTTTTCAATTTCCTGCTGTTCCTGTTTTCCTTCTGGCACCCCTATGATTTGGATGTTGGAATATTTAGTTGTCCTGGAATTTCCTAAGCCTCTCCTCATTTTTTTTGAGTTCTTGTTTCTTCATTCTCTTCAGGTTGAATGTTTCTTCCTTCTCCTCCAAACCATTGACTTGAGTCCTGGTTTCCTTCCCTTCAGTATTGGTTCCCCATGCATTTTCCTTTATTTCACTTTTCTTTTCTTTTTTTTTAAATTTTTTTTTATTGATTATGCTGTTAGTTGTCCCATTCCCCCCTTCATTCCCCTCCACCCTACCCCCCTGTCCCCACCATTACCCCCCCCTTTAGTTTATGACCACGCGTCTCAAGTCCTTTAGATTCTATATTTCCCATGCTATTCTTGCCCCCCCATCTATTTTCTATCTACTTTCTGTGCTACTTATTTTCTGTTCCTTCTCCCCCTTCTCCTCCTCCCACTCCCCTGTTGCTAACCCTCCTTGAGATCTTCATTTCTATGTTTCCACTCCTGATCTAGCTGTCCTTTTAGTTTGCTTTTGTTTTAGGTGTGGTTGTTAATAACTGTGAGTTTGTTGTCCTTTCACTGTTCATGTTTCTTTAACTTCTTTTTCTTAGATAAGTCCCTTTACATTTCATACAATAAGGGCTTGGTGATGATGAACTCCTTGAATTTGATCTTATCTGAGAAGCACTTTATGTGTCCTTCCATTCTAAATGAAAGCCTTGCTGGATAGAGCAATCTTGGATCTAGGTCTTTGGATTTCATGACTTGGAATACCTCTTTCCAGCCCCTTCTTGCCTGTAAGGTCTCTTTTGAGAAATCTGCTGACAGTCTGATGGGGACTCCTTTGTAGGTGACTGTCCCCTTAGCTCTTGCTGCTTCTAGGATTCTCTCCTTCATTTTGATCTTGGCTAATGTAATGATGATGTGCCTTGGTGTGTTCTTTCTTGGGTCCAAGTTCTTTGGGACTCTCTGAGCTTCCTGGATTTCCTGGAAGTCTATTTCCTTTGCCAGAACAGGGAAGTTCTCTTTTATTATTTGTTCAAATAAGTTTTCCACTGGTGCTGTTCCTCTTCCCCTTCTGGTACCCCTATAATTCGGATATTGGAGCATTTAAAGATGTCCTGGAGGTTCCTAAGACTCCTCATTTCTTCGAATTTTTGTTTCTTCATCCTTTTCTGTTTGGTCATTTTTTTCCTCTTTCTGGTCCACTCCCTTGATTTGAGTCCCAGTTTCCTTTTCATTGCTATTGGTGTCCTGTGCAATTCCATTCATTTCAATTAGTTTCGCCTTCATATATTTGTCTAATTTGTGGCTATAATCAACCAGTTCTGTGAGGATCCTGATGACCAGTGTTTTAAACTGTGCGTCTGAGAGTTTTGCTATTTCTTCATTGCTTAGATCTATAGGCTCTGGGGCTTTGAGATCTTCTTGAGCCATTTTTGGTCTGTTCGGGCCCTTTAAGTGTGAGGAGCGGCGCCTTGGACTCCCAGGTTGCTGGGTTGTGACGCTGTATGTGGGGGCGTGGTCAGAATGGGGAAATGGCAACTCCCTCTGCTGTTTCGCACCGCTGGGTGAGTAGCGGCTCCTTAGGTGATTCACCTGGGCCGGGCCACTCAGAGTTGCTGGGTTATGAAGCTGTATGTGGAGGTGGGGTCAGAGCAAGGAAATGGCGGTGCCCTCCCTGCTGCTTGCCGTGGGGACCCGCTGGGTTCCGGTCCAATCGCCCACTCCCTCGCTTGTCTATCCGCGCACAAATGCGTGACCACAGTGAACCTGCAGCCCTGCTCCCTCGCTGTTTCCGTCGCGGTCGCTCGCTTGGTCGCTCGCTTGGTCGCTCGCTCAGTTGCTCACTAGGTCCAACCCTGCACCTGGATTCCACGCCGCTGGCCTGAGTCCGTCCTACCGAGTTTTCCTGTGCAACCCCGCTCCACCAGCTGCTGGTTTCACCCCTTACCGGTCAGGCTGAAGAATTAGTTGTTAACAGACTCCCGAAAAGTTCAATTTTCTGTGTTCTGGCTGTGTTTTCTGTTGCTAATATTTAGTTGTCTCTAAACTTGGTTGTGTGAGAAGGCACGGCATATCCACCTATGCCTCCATCTTGGCGGAAGTCCTTCTTTATTTCACTTTTCATAGCTTTCACTTTTTCCTCTATTTTGGGACCATATTCAACCATTTCTGTGAGCATCCTGATTACCAGTGTTTTGACCTCTGCATCTGATAAGTTGGTTATGTCTTCATCGCTTAGTTGCATTTTTCTGGGGCTTTGATCTGTTCTTCCATTTTCCCTGAGCCTGTTATGTATTAAGGGGCGGAACTGCAGATATAGGGCAGGGCAACCCACTTCTTCGGTTGTGACTCTGTGTGGGGGGGTGGGGTCCAAGAGGGAATAATGCCGTTTGCTCAGCTCTTGGCAGGCTTTCAGTCTCCTCTGCTGCTACCCACAAGCAAATTGTCCCCTTTGGGTACTGATTACCAGGTGGGTGGGTTTGTGTACGTTCTAAGTCCCTGTGGTTCTCTCCAGTGAAGTCTCCTGTGAGGCTGGGAGTTTCTCCCGCTCTTGCAACCCTCACAGGTGTTTTCAGTCAGAGGTTTTGAGACTTTATTTCCCTGCAATGGAACTCTGGGTTGTGCAGTATTTCTTGCTTCCCAGTTGTTTCTCCCGGTTTATCCTCATGCAAATGTGGGACCACCTGCTCCACCAGCCGCTGCCTACCCTGGTTCTCTAGCCGCCACCTTGCCCCTAGCCCCTAGCCCTCTCTGCTTCAGCTGCCCATCTTGGCCCCTCCTGCCAGTCTGGATGAATGTTTCTTCTTTAACTCTTTGGTTGTCAGACTTCTATGCAGTTTGATTTTCTGGTAGTTCTGGGATTTTTTTGTTTGTCTGTTTTTAAACTTGCTGTTGTCTGTGTTTTGGTTGTGCAAGGATGCAAAATGTATCCACCTATGCTTGCATCTTGGCCAGAAGTGAACTTAAATATTTTTATAGCAATAAAAACATACTTCCATGGTTTAAAATACTATCAGACCAAACAATTAAAAAATATTAACTAAAAGAGTAACTAAGTCTTACATGTATGTAAGAGTTACTTAACAGAATTAACTTTTTATTTCTTTTTTCTACTTTATTTTTAAAAATTAATAAATTGTGACACAACAGAGGTACTTATGTCATGTCTTCTCCCAAAAGGATTTAGGATTTGTCACCAAATTTTTTGTCTTCATTGTCCACACTGTTTCTGTTTTTTGACTCAGAGTCTCCAACTAGCCTTGTTCTCATCTTTCCCCATCTTTTCTTGTTAGTTATTTGGCTAGGTCCTCTATCATGTTTACTCTTAACAACTATATCCATTATAAGGGCCTCCAATACCACTTTCTGCTTAGATTCCTTGATTATTTATTCTTTTATTTTAAAAGTGCTGTTGTGCATTGTACCAGGTTCTAGGGATACAGTAAAATAGAGACATAGGTTTGTTCATATGAAATTTCTATGCTAGTGAGAAAACAGCCAGGTGATAGAAGAGGATTTCATGGAGAGCAAAGTGCAAGAGGTCTCATGCTCCAGAGGGGTGGAGCTGTAGATGATAGGACTTGGGGTTCAAAGCATGTTCAAAGATATGGTGGTGAGAATGTAGTAGGCTTTATGAAATGAAAGAATCGTGGTGTGGCTGGAGTGTAAAGAATGCATGATGAATGCCGAGAGGGGAGAAGGGAGCATGCAAGGCCTTGTAACCATTCTGTATAATGTCATCCTGATTCAGAGGGTTGTGAAGAGCAGTTTAGTATCATGCTGAGTTGGGAAATTGCTAGATTTACATTGGAAAAGATCCATCTTGGCTACCTACTGTGAGGAAATAGTGGGTGGTAGGAGAGTGGGAATGGCTGAGCTGCCTGCTGGATTGGGAGAACAAGAAGTTGGTGTAGTACACTCATGTGCTGCATAAGGACCCTTCTGTCAGTGATGGACTGAACCACATATATGACTGTGGTCCCATAAGATTGTA